AATGGTATCAGAACAATTTTATATCTATTTGATAATAGTTCACATTCTTCAACTTATCAACCTAGAAATAAAGGTTGTTCGTTTTTGTAGACTATCTTCTCAAATATCCTACAGTAAGCAATAGATATCGCACACAAAATGGAGGTGAACAATCACGGGAGTCTGTGTAGTTTATATGGAGATAAGCGACTCAAATAAGGTGAGTAGGAGTCAGACAGTAAGCTATCGAGTATAAGTAGTGAGAAGCAAACGAATAAGTCAAACGAAGCATGATTAAAGTATCAAATGTGGGACCGATTGACTTATTCAAAATCATACAGAAAGAATTTCAATAGTCACATGCTAAACACGTGAGTTCAGTTCAGTTCGCCATTCATTAGTTGCTGAAAGAGTATTGATTTCGTAATTTCTCAATAAACCTGCACCATTGATTAAGAATTGCGAAATGGAAAACATAAATGTCCGTGTGAAGCTCGGTTCATAGTCTTTATTAATACGACACGGGATATATGTATTCATTGGTACTTTCTTGTTTCTCACAGTTCCACATCCATAGACAAATGAGAAGAACGCGAAACTCTATATCCGTAAGCACAATTGTTCATGTTCATTCATGCAATATGGCGTGCAGCTTACTGTCATGACCTCCTGGATAGCAGGTTTGTGAATGATCTGTACTGCAAGTACTGCACCTCAAGGTGCAGTACTTTCTCCATTTCTTTTCTCTTTCTTTTTGCATGACCTTCCGAACTCACCCAAAGTTAACTTCATTAAGTATGCTGATGATCTGACCGTTTCTGTCCCTGTAGTTTCCACATCGGATTGTTCCCATATGAATGGCTTCTTAGCTGAAGTTAAGGATTGGTCTGGATCAAATGGTCTTAAACTAAATCCAACTAAATGTAATACAGTTGATTTCAGCTTGAAAAGTGAAAAAGACATGCATGGATTGATCCAATCTCATGATTGTTGTAATATTGACGGTACCATGATAGAGAGTAAGTCAAGTGTTTCTTATCTTGGCATCAGTTTCTCTTCAAACCTTTGCTGGTCGTCTCACATTCTTATAGTTTCTACGAAAGTTTTCCGTCTGACTTATTACATAAAGAAGTTGAGGCACTCAGGTATAACCCAATCTCTTCTCATACAATTTATTAATTCATGTGTTTTGCCCATCATTCTTTATTGTTCTCCATTATTCTTCCCTGGGCTACTCAAAAAAGACCATATAATACTACGAAGAACATTGAGGGCTGTAAGTAGGGTCAGTGCTATCCCTTTGACTCAACTAACTGACACTGTTGTCAATAGGCATATGAATTCTTGTAAACAGTTAGCTAAAGTTATTTTGTCTGATAGTGAACATCCTCTTTATTCACATTTGTTTCCTTGTATCTCTTCGGGTAAGACCAGAAGAAATTTCATAAACATTTATGCTCGTACTACAAAATATAAAAATTCGACCGTACCATATTTGGCACGAGTATTGTGTGAAGAGACGAATATCAGAAAAGAACTTTTACAACTTTTAAATCATTAACTAAACTATAAAATGTAATGATGCATATTATTGCATGTGTGATTTGTTATATTATTTATTTATTATTCACTATGACCTAGAAATGGTGTATTTTATTGGTTTTTTTTTATTTTTCCTATTAACTATCAATATTTTTAAAATTTTATATATTTATATAATTATAAAAAGAGCTAAACCAATGCAATATGTAAAATGAAACGCTGAAAATTCCATGCTGTAAATTGTTATTGTTGTAGAATAAAGTGATTATTATTATTATTACTCATTTCCTTTGTTCAGCTCAACCTAATATTCAAAACTCTATGTTTGTGCCTAATGTTTTCCCTTATGCGAATAATATTTCTTCCTCCAAGCAGTCATTTGTCAGTAATCGTTTCCAAACGGTATTTGTTAATTATCGTTTTGGAATACGTAAGGTGATGTAAGAGAGTTTCACGATTTCCTAACTTTTCTTCGTACATAAAGCTCAAACAATTTCGTACTATATGGAATTAACATACTATCCTCATAGGCCTTTTCCTCTGCACTTTAGAAAATCTGTGAAATAGTCAACTACTATGGCAAACCTTCGCGCATTATACCAGGATTACTGCTGGTTTTCATCTGCTCTATACTCACCAGTATTATCACCTTATTTTACTATTGCTTCGCTTAGTCTGTTCGATAGTATATTTATCCATGTTCATAAAAATGAAACGACACACAGTTGTGTTAGCAAGTTGTTCGAAGTCTTTTTCAAATACATTAAATTTTTCAAGGTGGACTTCGTATCACAATAGCGCTATTCTAATTTAATAAACAGAATTATTGTTTTGATTTCATCATGTGGTAATGTGTAAGTGTACAACTTGTGATACACACGATCCTTCACAAATATAATTGAAAAATTCAGAGATGGAACAAAGTTTCAAAGAATTTTTCAGCTATTCATCGCAAAGTTCGAAATACTTGAAATTTTGAAATGAATCATTTTTTGTTTCTGTTATGATTTATAATTTGCTTGTGGTATGATCTCTACTATAAGAGGGACAAAGTCAAGTCGAATAAATTTGCGCTTCACAGTAAACATAATCGCGAAATGATAAGTGAGCTGAATACTTTGTTCACAATTGAATACATCTTTAACTGCTTAATAATAATACAGAAAACGTCTTCAGAAAACATTATAGTTCAGCGAGGAGTCTCTTTTCAGAGAATTCATTTTCTTTGGCTGTACAGTTGCATTTATATGCCATCTTTTCTGAAACGAGGTAGTAAAAACATGATGATTTGTCACAACGACTGTTACTGATATTATTGAGTGCATAAGAAAAGCTGAATAGGTGTCTTGGAGTCACGTAGTGAGGTAAACAATCTAGTGAATGAGTTGTATTGAGGGTGCACATTGAAACGAAGGAAGACATGCGTTTATTTTAATAACAGCAAAAGCTTTATTCTCAAGAGTGATTGTATAATGTGCAAAACTATCAGTGGAGTTTATTTCATGATATTTTCTCCTTGTCCAAGATCTTTATATAAAATATTGATTGACAGGGGATCCTGTGACGCAATGCTATCCGACCTGAAGCACAGACGAACCGAGTATATATATATAGTCGCATAAGTTTTTATTTATTTATTTTATTATAGCTTGATTCCACACAGTATTTTGGTACAAGTATGAAATTTTCAGCATGTGATATCGGTAGCGTAAATTTAGCAGGTCAACCATAGATATCAGGTGTGCGTCAGCGGGAGATCGAACATCGGACCGTGCGCATGGTCGGCGAGAGTCCTAACCACTGTGCCACATACGTCTATTTCGCACCGTGTGTACGTATCAATCGACATATGTTTTCTCATCATGGAGACTTTGATACAATTTTCAAAATATCCGTTCTCACTAAATGAGTCTCCCGTATTTAATTGCATCATCCGGATAATTCTAACAGGGACATCAGAGCACTAGTCGAACTTCGTTTGTATGCCAGAAGAAGAGACGATCTGAGATTGAAGTATTTGCGAATCCACGACTTCTTCCGGAAAATACCCAGCATAATACTGCCATCCGGCCTTCCTATTAGAAAGACGTCAATAAACGACAAATTATTGTCCTTCTGTTTTTCATATGTGGACTCAATGTTTGGGTGAGCCACATTGAGAGATTTGAGGTGGACCTCGGCATTCATTCAATTCCTATTCAAGATGAAAGTATTGTGTATGCATCCACAGCAGAACGAGAGTTGGTTGATCGCATTTGTGAGCGGATGGTTCTCTAATTTCGCCATAAATAAGTTCGCGAAATAGGGAAACAAGAAAAAATCGATTGTCAATCCCCACACTTGACACTAAATCTCAATGCATAGCTGAAACTACACGTTCCTCGTTCACCGGAGTTGTCAGGCTTTACAATTACAAAATAGAATATTAGTCACACAAATTCGAAACCAATGTGGTTAATGGAATTAACGTCCAGGCATACGAATTAGTGGGTAATACTCGAGGTACCCATAATAATAATATCAAGGATAAATCCATGCAAGTGTTTATATAGTCCAGGTGTGTGGAATATTCCCATGATGAGTGTAGCAGAAATGTGGACAACAGTTGGATTCTACAGAAGACAATAAATTTGCCTCTGTGCTCCTAATCGAAAATTGTCTTGTGTGAAAGCGAACATTAAACGATTCATCAACAGGTTATTTGCCAAACTGTTCCACCTTCGCAGTAGTACTATTCAATCCTGATTCTTGATAATTAACTAATGATTATTCACTTAGAAGACTAACAATTTATAGTTCAGCTACACTTTTGGAAAATTAGACATTTACTCCAACAAGTCACTGATACAAGTGATGCATGATATTCTCAAATCAGTAACACGCAATAGGTAAGCAATGATGCGAAATATGTGAGGCTGTTTTATTGTGTAGATGCAGTGGAAACGATGCCCTGACCGAATTCGACATGTTTATTTGAAGAAGCTGCTTACCCATTCTATATGAAACTATTAGATCAGTCACGATCTGTGCTTGAGTGGCGTATCACTGCACTGGATTTGGAAAACAAATATTCGAGGAAGTGGTAGTGTTTCACTAAACCCACAAATGCAACTCAACTGTGATCTGTCGCGGTACACTTAAGCAATTCACCATAGATGGTTTCTTCTCAACATGCCTCCGAATGATAAAACTCAAATTTTCTATTTTGAATTTCACAAAGTGATGTTACTTAACTTCCTGTTGTTTATACCAATCTCTACTTCTGAACTGTATAAATGCTCAGTGTTAATTATTATTTTAATTTATTGAGAATATACAATACAAACAGTTTTGTTGTATAAGAATTTCTGACATCTGTTCATCTTGTCAGTATTCAGTTATTGCTAATTGCGATCACAAACAATTATCACAGGTCTATTTTAATTTGAAGAAAAATGTTTATACATCAACTGCATCAGCCAGTCTAACTTCTCTCTCACCGAAATCGAATACAGTGTAAAATTTCCCCATGAAAACATCACCAAGGATCCAGAGATTGTGTATTAAGTTGTCATTGGCATTAAATGGTGATAAACATTTGGAGAACAACCAAAAATTTTGCTGCAATGAAATAACAAGAACAAACATATCAGGATTTTTCGTTATAAAGTTATAATAATAACTGTTATAATCACATCACTGTGTTTGCACAACTTTCTATATTGCTTAACGTAGCCTTAAGCACTCCTGTTTGCATTGCAACATTCCATATGTCAGGGATACGTGTTGTAACATTTCGATTATTCGTGTTTCACTTTGATTCGATGAACAAGAATAGATGTACAACGAGGTGAGAGGTTACTCTTAGTATACAAGAATCTGTGACGCGGAACTCTTGCTTCAATTAAAAAGCACTAATTTCGAATAATATTCAAGAAGTCTGACATCTTTTGAACTCCTTTATGTATTATAAATGCACCTTATTTGCCTTCTCTTTATTCATACAAAAATGAAGCGCTCGAACCTCCTTTTATGTGGAAAGGACATGTATTGCATTTAATAGGTGGATTCACGACCAGTATTCAGACAATGTTTCGCGCCATAGTTTAACAGAATTTATCATGTGTCACATAGTTGAAACAGTCATCTTGTTGTGGCACAATCAACATGTGAGTGTGGAGATCTACAGCGCTGGACACAGTTTGCAGATAACATAAGGGTAATCTAGCGTAACTTACATTCACGAAATTTAGCCATTTATTTATCACTAGGGAGGAAATCGGTTCTGTCACACGGTGAAATATTTATTGTCAACAAAATCATTTTCAAGCCGTACAGTCGTGTTTATATAGCGCAAAAGGGCAGTGAGTGGCGCCACAAACTGCTCAGTCAACATACACATAATCAGAACAAAGCTGATTAACATGAATTTTAAGGGAGTAGATTAGAAGAGGATGAATTACAAAATCCTCGATAGACTATTAAATAAAAGAATCTCTATTCAATGTTTCATATTGAGCCGAGTGTTGCCAAATAATTAAAAGTTCAGTGACGACAGCCACAGGGGAGGAGAAGATGAAGTGAAATGGAATGAATTTAACTGGTAAAAGAAAATTTCGAGAAACGTTAACAAGGAACCTTAGTACAATCCAGATAAAGTAAAGAGTTTATCAGTCCACTTTCGAAAACATGGTTTGGTTTCTGTCCACACGTGGCTAGAGCATTTGCAGTGCATAAGTGTAGTAAAGGTAAACTTACAGTGACCGAATTTAATCAGGGATATTAATAATAATAATCACTTTATTCCACAACAATAACAATTTACAGCATGGAATTTTCAGCGTTTCATTTTACATATTGCATTGGTTTAGCTCTTTTTATAATTATATAAATATATAAAATTTTAAAAATATTGATAGTTAATAGGAAAAATAAAAAAACCCCAATAAAATACACCATTTCTAGGTCATAGTGAATAATAAATAAATAATATAACAAATCACACATGCAATAATATGCATCATTACATTTTATAGTTTAGTTAATGATTTAAAAGTTGTAAAAGTTTTTTTCTGATATTCGTCTCTTCACACAATACTCGTGCCAAATATGGTACGGTCGAATTTTTATATTTTGTAGTACGAGCATAAATGTTTATGAAATTTCTTCTGGTCTTACCCGAAGAGATACAAGGAATTAAATGTGAATAAAGAGGATGTTCACTATCAGACAAAATAACTTTAGCTAACTGTTTACAAGAATTCATATGCCTATTGACAACAGTGTCAGTTAGTTGAGTCAAAGGGATAGCACTGACCCTACTTACAGCCCTCAATGTTCTTCGTAGTATTATATGGTCTTTTTTGAGTAGCCCAGGGAAGAATAATGGAGAACAATAAAGAATGATGGGCAAAACACATGAATTAATAAATTGTATGAGAAGAGATTGGGTTATACCTGAGTGCCTCAACTTCTTTATGTAATAAGTCAGACAGAAAATCTTCTTAGAAACAATAAGAATATGAGACGACCAGCAAAGGTTTGAAGAGAAACTGATGCCAAGATAAGAAACACTTGACTTACTCTCTATCATGGTACCGTCAATATTACAACAATCATGAGATTGGATCAATCCATGCATGTCTTTTTCACTTTTCAAGCTGAAATCAACAGTATTTCATTTAGTTGGATTTAGTTTAAGACCATTTGATCCAGACCAATCCTTAACTTCAGCTAAGAAGCCATTCATATGGGAACAATCCGATGTGGAAACTACAGGGACAGAAACGGTCAGATCATCAGCATACTTAATGAAGTTAACTTTGGGTGAGTTCGGAAGGTCATGCAAAAAGAAAGAGAAAAGAAATGGAGAAAGTACTGCTCCTTGAGGCACACTACTTTCAGTTAGCTGAGAAGTGGAGCGCTTTCCAGCCAAAACAGTATGCTGTTTCCTATCCTTAAAATAAGAAGACAGCCATCTAGTTGCCCAGGACTCTGTTTGTGCTGAAATCATCTTTCCTAATAAAAGTGTCCTAGGAACAGAGTCGAAAGCTGCAGTATAGTCTAAAAAGTCTGTTCGAACGAACTTGGCACCCTTATCAAGGCAGGAAACAATATTGTGGTGTGGTACAATGGCTGCATCTAATGTACTTCTTCCACACTTATAAGAAAACTGCTTAGGGTCACTAAAAGCTTTCAAAGAAGGTTCAAGAGTATTCAAAAGAAGTTTCTCCATAGTTTTCAAAAATGGAGATGTTATAGCGACCGGTCTAAACTTTATACCTGCTCCAGAAGATGATTTCTGTACAGGTACAACCTTGATTTCTTTCCAGTCAGCAGGTACCGTTTCCTTGTTGAATGATGCATTAAAGATTTGAGTAAGAGGATGACACAAGATGTCTGCACACTTTTGAAGAAGAATGCCTGGTACACCATCTGGACCAAGGCTGTGTGTTGGATTTAAAGATTTCAAACATAATAGTACATTCTCTTCTTTAAAACCCGGAAAATGACCATTATCTTGACTAGGTACATCAGGTACAGGCATATTAATTTGTTTCATGATAAATGATTTGTTTAAAGCATTAACATCAGAATAAGCATCAACAGACATTTGTTTTTTACTTGTAAGTTTATTGAAAAGTTTCCAAATGTTTAAAGGATTTTTACATGATAAAAAATTTTCATTATATAGTCTGTTCAATCTTTCTATTTCAATTTTTATAAGGGTGTTTATTTTACGGACACCAGTATTATCACAATTCTTATACAACTTCTCTTTTTGTCTTCTAAGTTTTTTCAGCTGCAAAGAAGAGATTCTGTCAAATCTCGAAAACAGTGTTTCATATGGACAGCAAATATCCAAACAAAACTTCAGATAATCGGTTATATTAGTGACAGTAGCATCCAACTTATCATCAGTAAATAGTTCCCAGTTGGTATCATACAACATGCTTCTTAGTGCTAGAATGTTGTCATGGGAATATGAAGGTTCATGTATCTTCTTTGTTAAATGACTGAACAATTTTTGTTGTAACTTGCCGTACACTTTCGGTAAAATACGAATAATGCAGTGGTCAGAGTTTGACAAAGGAGCTCTCCTTCGGGTTTTATATACATCACGGTCGTTTATGAAAACCAGGTCTAGTGATTTGTCCAGACGTGTATTAAACTTGACTAGATTCTCATGACCAAGTGAAGTAAGAAAGCTGTGATCGCATGAATTAAAATCACCACAGACTATAGACAGCGAGTTTCCGAATGCAGGAGCAGCGAATTCAGTAAATTCATCTGCAAACGTAACTATATTTGAAAGGCTACAATTGGGTGTTATGTAGATATTTGTTATGTATATGTAAGAATATTTACTTAAGTGTTTTGGGCGACACCTGACGGTTATGCAGTCTATATTGTCACTAGAATAATTGAAGCAAACGTGATTTGATGTAGACCAACTTGTGTTTATAAAAGTGGCTACCCCTCCTCCACATTTTTTCTTAGAACTTTTTCTATCTTGTCGAAAAACTTTATATCCATTTAATGACACTAGATTATCATCATAATGCTGGTGCAGCCAAGTCTCTTGTATTGCTAAAACGCCAGCGTTTCGATAAACATTAGAATACATTAGGGATTGAAGATAATCCATTTTGTTGGACAGGGATCTACAATTAGTGCTAACGAGTTCTGGAACAGTCATTTGATTAATTTGTGTACGTTTCAGTGCACGCTGCCATCCACAGTGATGCTTTTTTCTCAATTTTTGTGGATGACACAACGCAGTAGGTTGTAATGATTTTAAAAATGCGCGATTATAAATAATACGATTAGAACACATTATTGATAAATTAAAACAAAATTAAAAGAGCAAACCAAAGCAATTTTGCAAAATGTTGTAAGGTGGAATTTTTGGTAGCCCTATGTTCAAGCAGGCCGCCTTGTTATAACACTAAAGGAGAAACCGCTTCGGTCTGAATGACCTGACTCTATAAGGTATTCACAGATGGAAGACTTAGTCGTCCTACGCTGGACTTTCATATGTCAAAACGGCTGCTATTCAACATAATCAAGTACACAGAATAATATGGAAGAGTAGGTGTGCACCCACCTCAACTCTACCCCCTTTAAACTCACATCAACTCATATCTCTATTATCAACATGTGTATATCGGCTGGGTAATTCTAAATGTCACTTAATATCATTTTCCGTAGTGTGAAGACGATTACATGGCTTGGATTGATCTCATCCATCCATGTTTCACACATATACCGAAGGTGCGATTTCCAGACGCTACCTACAAGCTTGTCAGCAATTTTAGATTACACTGGAGTTCTGACCCGAATTCTCCTTCCCACCAAAAGGATTGGATTTATAAAGTGAACTGTCCGGCTTTTACGATATTCCCACAAAATAATAATAATAATTTGCTTTATTCCGAAACAGTACTTGTGATACAGAATGGAATTCTCAGCATTTTTACTACAGTATTGCATCCAGTTAGTACATCATCAATAAATAGAATTCTACATAGATTGAGGAAACCATAGTTCATTATTACAACAATACATTGGCATGTCAGTAGCAAAGGTAAAGCTGAAATAGTGTTTGAAGGTGTTAGAAAAGTGGGAGCTGTCATATTTACTGATCTTAGCGAGAGAAAGAAACAAAGCAGCACATAACGGAAAAAAGAGGGGGAGAGAGAAAAGGAAAAGAAAGAAAGAAAATGTTGTACCTATAAATGATGTGAGTTGGAAAGACGAGATCCAGTTGTACTACTAACTATTTAATGAATTATAGGTGTCACGCCTAATGCTTTCTTTATCGCACAGAACACGAGCTAAGTAGGGTATGGTTGAGTTTTTGTACTTGCTGGTGCGAGCATATAGTTTTCTATATTGGCTTCTCGTTTTACCTGATGAGATGCAAGGGGAGAGTTGTGAGTGATAAGATTTCATTTTGACAAGTCACACAGTGTTACACTGTAATATAACCTAGATTACTTTTTTGGTAGGTGGAGAGAGAGGTTGATTACTGAATCCTTGTTCATCTAGTCTACACTCAACACATGCAATAGGAATGACTCATCACTCATACCAGATATATGGAAAATAACACTACCAATCAAATCAAGCGATGGAAAGTAATGGAATTATCTAAACGAAGTTAGAAAGTTGTGTGAGTACCTTGATATGACTATGAGTGGCAATAAATTGTGCTCGAAACGTCATCAGTAAACATTACTGTATAACGCTGTGAGACTTTATCAAAACAAATTTTACCTATAGTGGATTTTTCACACAGTTCATCTCATTTAAACTCGGTTTCATAAGGGTGCAAACCAATTTCGAAAAGAAAATCTGTCAAATACAATTAGTACCTGAATAAAAATCTCTTCATAATAAGAAAATTTTCATAATAATGTTACCTTAACTATGTAATCCTTTGCCTGCAGCACATATGTCCTCCTCTTGAAGGTAAACTCAATAGGTGGAAGGGTGTGTATATCATTACAGTTGATTACATAATCACCAGTGACGCTGAGTTTGGCACCCAGTTGAGAATTGATTCTATTCACGATTTTACTAGGACCAACTATCAGGGATGTCCCAGTGTCCATGGCGGCGAAATATGTTTCATCGAAATACTCCATTCCATTTATTTTGATGCTAAATTCATTGAAAATTATATGTGAAAATCACTACCACACTGCTACAGATAAATTTTATCTCTGACACCAGTTGAGTAGGCTTTCGTGAACATTGAGGAAGACAGGCTGTGCTTAAGTAAATACGCTTCTCTATTTGATTTATCCGTGAATACAATAGGTGCATGGATTATGGTGAGATAATTTTGAGTCAGTTAACACCAATGACCTATACTTACCCAAAATTTGAATATATATTTCAATTTCACTTGAGGATTTCTACCTCCTACCGGCTTTTGATTTCACAAAGCCGCCTTACTCGGGCACATTTGAAGTCCATTGGTCCGTGTTTCAAGACAGCTTAGGTGGATAGTCTACCACAACACCACAGACAATTGCCTCAAATTAAGTTAGATTTACAAATTTCGACTGAACAAGGCTGTGATATCAAGTGACTGGTTGCAGCTATTAAGAAGCCGATTAGACTACACCCCACTTGATGTGTGCACTACTGGCTAGGTGAACAAAAGAACGGCCAGCCTCCCAAGCCCAACGATAATCAGATACGGTCAGCTTGACCAAATCAGAGAAACCGGAGTATTAGTTATCGTCAGTACACTCACAAAGTGTATCCAGAAGCGGACGTAAACAGTGTTTAATGCAGAACATGATGAGTGCATTCAACATGCCCACCATTATGTAAAGATATGAAGTTGAACAGACACTAAAGAGCCGTTAATATGCTCAATTACAGCTTGTAAACATCGACAAAATTTCAAGAATAGCATTTCAACCACATCCATATACCTTAGAACACTTTTACGAATCGTTTGTTGTACCTTTGCGGTACTTTCAAAATTCCACTGAAAATACCCGTTTGCTATTAGTCTTGTGTAAGTGTATTCCTATTGTCATTGACTTCGATGATTACAACTGGTAGATATTTATTGACTAAAAGGTATCATATCAGTTTTCCTCAAACATTATTCCACTCAAATATTGAGATATTAATTAAACAGAAGGGTAAACTCCTCAAAAATAAATATTCTGGTCAATATTATTATTAGTATCAGTCTTGAGTGCCACGGTATACGCAAGACATCAGCTAGCTACTCACACATAATCTGTAGTCCACTCATTATGTCAATCAATTCGGTGAAATAGTTCATAGAACATGTAATATCCCCTGTACTGGTCCACCACACTCAAATAATTGAAGCTGTCCAAACACTTCATTTTATCACATCACCTATGTAGCAATAGAAAATAAATTTTCGTACAAGTTTAATTTCATATATACACAAATTAATCACCTTTTCATTTGAACCACCCAACTAGTTTGAGAAGTTGTAGGTAGACTTTCGAATTCCCCTGTGAAGTGTTCAGGATTAATGCCACCTAGGACCAATTCACCACCAACGGGCTCACCATCTTTTCTAAAATTTACGTGAAATGCTCATGTTATTTTACTTTAATTTAAGCGAGTGAGGCAATACATTCAACTCCATTTCATGCAGTGAATGACGCGAACAAGATTATCCATAGTCACTAAAATGACATAATTAAGTGTGAACCGGTATGAATTTTTGTTTTCGCTCAACACAAACAGTAAATGCAAATGGAGCATGGTTCGATGAATTCATCAAATTTCAGTGGATCTCAACAGCTCAATACTCTAAATATAGTGATATATGTATATATGATATGACATGTATATGAAGAGATTTTTGAGTGATAGCTACGTTTTTCGTACAGTTACTCTTTTATAGTTCACACGTTTGCAATAAATTAGTGCTGATGGAAACAATCCATATGACTTTGTTTCCTGGTAGCTTGGAACGAAGTGATATAATTTTATTTTGGCCATGATGATAATTCTCAAAGCAGTCGTAATAACAGAAAGGAATGATTCCAAAGGGATATATCACTAAAATTTTGAGCTTCTGAATAAATCAAAGTGATGCTAAGGAAAGTTATGTGAGGCACACGCATTAATCTGATGAAAACCTTAACAAAATTAAGTCTATAAAATTAGGCGAAATAACATAACTGACAGGACTGAGCAAAGGTTGACCAAAATTGAAAAAAGATCAAATCAAGATGAGTGTCATCACGACTAGAGATTTCGGGTCGAGAACTGTAGTCTGTCAGCATCGTCTTTGGTACACTATGGCTTGCATTGATATCGCGAATCACTGCATTTCCCACAGTCTTCGTAGGTAGATAGGAAATTTGACGGAATTTACTTTACATATAGAATGTCCCGTCACCACCAGTAGACACCACTCACTGTTGGATGTATGTGGAAAAAGTTTCAATAAATTCGCGCGTGTCACTAGACTCAACTGCACAGATGGTGACATTCCCCTCGAATCCATTCAATAAACAAATATTGCGGACAGCTAAGCAGTCTGCCAAAGTAACAAGCCAGAAAGCGGGTTGTCTTACCTGATTCTACTGTCTGAACTGAGTCGAATCAGGTACACCACTGATGAGCTGGACCCCAAATGGGCAAAACGGAGTACTGGTGTTAAGATTAACCCGATCTGGCTAGCAAGTACTACTGGTCGATTTGAGTGATATGTAAATACCTGGGTAGTTTATGCACTACATCCAGAGATGATTTGTTTTGCCTACACCCAGATGTTGGGATTTGTGTACCATTTATTAGTGTAGGCACTAAGATATCACTACAAATGCTGACCACTGAATGGATATTCCACAACCACTTTTTTATTTAGTCTCACCGGTAAAAACATTGCGTTGCTTATTTCCAGCAATCAAATTCATACACACCACTTCACGTTGATACGTCACACTTATTTTCCCCATCCAGAAATCTTCTATCCCATTTCATAAAAGTCTCTTCGTATTTTGTTGGGGAAGTGAAAAGACAAAATGACCAAATTATTCATTTTGTAGTTTGGGACGAATTCTGATCATCCTTCATCTAAAACTAAACTTAGTATATCTCGACTTTATTTGCTGGACTTCCTGAAATCCTTCACGATCCACTACTTGATTCCGGCAGTTTACATCGGTAGATTTTTAACTGCCTAATTTCCTGTCCTTAAGGCACTGTCAATCACCCATCACTCGATTTCAGAAATTCCTAAGTACCGTATGTCACATTTTTCCCAAAGTTTCGACATACGAACTCAATTCAGTATTTGTAAAAGATTTGATAAATTAAGGTTTGATCATCAAGTGCAAATAATTTGATATCGTTCAATAATCGAATCCGCACAAGTAATTTTTTTCACATTTGTTTACAATATATATGGGTACAAATATGACACAGTACATGTCCTGATCAATCAATACTGAAACGGTGTATGTCAATAATGCCATCTCCAGTTGGTTTCCATACCCACATTCATTGGCGTCACATAACATTTCAAATTGTTTTGTTCAGAATATAGTCATATTAATTTTGACCTGCTTAACTCTAATGCAAGTAATCTATTTTTGCCCTGATGAAAATTGCTCATTCCCTGAGTGTCATTGTTTATTGGGTTGGAACGCTTGAAGGGCCGCCTAAATCATGTACCAATCAATTAACCAAGTTTGTATTGCATAGAAGTATTTACCTTATTCATACGTCGGAGATGGTTTCCTGATTGCCTAATAGTAAACTATAAGAAAATTCCAAAAACTTATTTCCCACTGCAAACTCACCGACTCAAGTAGAAAGAGAACACTGCATCCATCTTCTTGTTTTCAGCAAACATGTTTGGAACTACAGGAATATTCCCATATGGTGATATGTTTCGGCATGACATGCCAATTATTCCATCATATTGGTTAGTGAGGAAGTCAGCATTAAATATATTTGTCACTTGAGCAAATGCTTGCTGGTGAATAATTAAAGAATTTATCTAAGGAGAGGTTTGATTTAGAAACACAAGTACCTGAATAGTGTCCATACTCCAAAACCCATAATAACTACTGTCCATGTAGTAGACCTCAAAATTTGTGCCATTTGGCTGATAAGTGGATGATTTTGAGCTATCATAAAACCGAAGCAACCAACACAGAGCATCAAGAGGCCAACAGTTTCTTGAAGGAAACCATGTATCAGTTGATCCAGTGTCGAATAAGACACGCAGTTTTTGAGGCGGAGTTCCCACCATCACTTCACCATAATACTGAAACTGAAAGATAATCACCTGTTAGTAATTCAATTGCCGACATAGTTTTAAAGCAGAGAAGATTTGTTAAACGTTTCACCTGTATCAATTGTTGTTGTAGAATGCTGTGAATGAACATTTCTGTGCGCTGAATATTCGGTCTCCGTGCTGAAGAAAACCACAGCTCAATGCACCTGTTTGCTTCTGATTATTATACACAGCATGCGCATTTATACAGCTGAATCTTCATAAAATCATTGTTGGTAACAATAATTGAAATTTATTTCATTCAGGCATTCAAACACAAAGTGTGATCTTATATTTTAACTTCACAACATGAAGCAAACAAAATAAAATTACAAGAGATTGGTTGTTGAACAAAGAATATTCTTTCCAATAAATTCATCATTAGGTTGTTAGATTGTCAAGGTAATTGCAAACGACTTTTGGAATTCTGATCTAAATGATTCTGTGTTACTCTCTATAAACCAACTATGTTGTCAGTAGCAATCATTCCTTCACTGCTATGGATATATAACTGCAGAACATGATGATGAAGTTATCGAAAGCAATATTCTTTGTTCAGCAATCAGTCTTTTCAAATTTCGAATGGGCACACTTAAACAAGTAAAATAAAATTAAATGATCAATCCAGGTTACCTACATTTTCGTAATTCTTCAGTTGTTCGGCTACGGGTGTGTTGTCATCTTTCCATAAATTCATCCATAAGTTTTGTAATGATTTTTGAAATATTTTCAAATAGCTTAATACAGAGTCAGCCTTGCTTACTGGATGGAGCTGAACTCTAACGCTCTCAGCATTCAGATGGTACAGGCAAATTGCAAATATGATTAGATTCATTTCGGTGAATTCAACGCACTCCATTCATTCATTTTATTTATCTTAGTTTTATCCTATTCGCACATTGTTCTGTCGACGCTCTTGTGCACACCTAATTCACAGTATATATATATATATATATATATATACATACATATATACGAAGACATGAAATGATTGGTGACATCTAGTGTAACATCTTTCTGTTTGTAGTTATTTGTGAAATATATGAGAGATTTCGTACAATTATATTCACGAGCTAGTAGTTGTCGATTCGGAGCGTCTTCGGAAATAATAAGATCTTAGGATTAGGCTCCTTGACATCACTTGTCTCAGATATAGATCCATAGGTGTATTAGAAAGTAACAGGAACAGAAACCACTCCACGGTATATCATTCTCACTGGATTTTATTAATTCGAACGTTACTTCCAAATTTAATATGTTCAGACTAAGTTCACATTTGATAGGTTGAAAAAATGAAAAACCGTTTTTTTGTTTTTGCTTCGATGGGAAATGTAAAACAAAAATTATATTCATGAATTATCGAACTATATTTAATGGATTCATTATGCAGCAGTCTGAATGCATTTGTCAACTGGTTCATGACATATTTCTCCTAGCCTTTTGTGAATTCACGGTTTCCATTACAGAAGTAATCTGTGGAAACTTAACATTATTGAGACATAAATCGATTATGCTTTATGCCATAAGTCAAATTCACAATTGTCAAATCAATTTGCAATTTTACAATTGTGAATTCTATTAATGGTACCACCAGTTCGTCCAAGTAACTAACCAGAAAGGGGATGTTTTGAACTGATTCGTCTGTCTGAGCGGAGTCAAACCATGTGAGCTCACCCACAACCAGGGAGAAAAGTCCTCCGTCATTCACTTCACTTTGATCTGGCTGGTGAGCACTACTTGTTGATTGATGTGATCGGTGGAAAACCTCTCATCTCAGCTATTATTAGTACATAGTATACCCCATCGTTTGAGGGATATTTAACATACATACATCAGTTAGAAGAAGATAATGACTCCGAATATTAGCTTGAAATTAGACAGCATAGTTTAGGCAAACAGGTTCTTTCAACTACTCCTAAAAACCTTAACGATGTCTTTCTGTCTAAATAAACATACTGTTATATTGACATGTTCGTAGCGACGAAATTTCCAGTTGGTGATCACTGTGGTTTTGTTTGTTGTGGGTATAATTGTGGTGAGAGCAAGCTGCTAGCCAATTGGTAGACATTGATCTACGCTGATTGGTAGAAATTAATCTAGGCTGATTCAAGGACCAATCACAGCTGACCTTGACATGGACAAATATGATTCGCAGACAAGTGGCTCGCATTTCCGAGAAACATAGAAAACGAGAAAGCAGAAGACTGCGTTTGTGTGCAAACAACCAATCAGAAGACCGCCTTCTTTCTGCGGGCAGAAGTCTATTAATGTATGTAAAA